GAACTCTAACTCATGAACATTAGCACATGAACGCACCACTTTGAACTCTAACTCATGAACATTAGCACATGAACGCACCACTGTGAACTCTGACTCATGAACATTAGCACACGAACGCACCACTGTGAACTCTAACTCATGAACATTAGCACATGAACACACCACTGTGAACTCTGACTCATGAAGATTAGCACATGAACACACCGCTGTGAACTCTAACTCATGAACATTAGCACATGAACACACCACTGTGAACTCTAACTCATGAGCATTAGCACACGAACACACCACTGTGAACTCTAACTCATGAACATTAGCACATGAACGCACCACTGTGAACTCTGACTCATGAACATTAGCACATGAACGCACCACTGTGAACTCTAACTCATGAGCATTAGCACATGAACACACCACTGTGAACTCTAACTCATGAGCATTAGCACATGAACGCACCACTGTGAACTCTAACTCATGAAGATTAGCACATGAACGCACCACTGTGAACTCTAACTCATGAACATTAGCACATGAACGCACCACTGTGAACTCTGACTCATGAACATTAGCACATGAACACACCACTGTGAACTCTAACTCATGAGCATTAGCACATGAACACACCACTGTGAACTCTAACTCATGAGTATAAGCACATGAACACACCACTGTGAACTCTAACTCATGAACATTAGCACATGAACACACCACTGTGAACTCTAACTCATGAACATTAGCACATGAACACACCACTGTGAACTCTAACTCATGAACATTAGCACACGAACGCACCACTGTGAACTCTAACTCATGAACATTAGCACATGAACGCACCACTGTGAACTCTAACTCATGAACATTAGCCACTGTGAACTCTAACTCATGAACATTAGCACACGAACACACCACTGTGAACTCTACCTCATGAACATTAGCACATGAACGCACCACTGTGAACTCTAACTCATGAGCATTAGCACACGAACACACCACTGTGAACTCTAACTCATGAACATTAGCACATGAACGCACCACTGTGAACTCTGACTCATGAACATTAGCACATGAACGCACCACTGTGAACTCTAGCGCATGCTGATGTGTAGCACTGTAACCCCCAGCGCTCATCACCGCGTGTCAAGACAACCTTCTCCAATCTCTGATTTACGGCGGCCGCCGCAACATCCCCTCGCATTTGGAGATGGAGGCCATCCTGGTGAGATCATGTGACCTCTAGTCTGTTGTCTGCATGGTGTCAACATCACGTCGCTGACTGACTGATGAGCTGCGTTTGCGTTCCTCAGGCCGGTAAAAACGCCAGAAGAATTGCTCTGCGGCTGCCGGGAGGCGTGGAGTTCCCTGTGACAATACACAACTTCAGCGTAAGCCGACATTATCCGTATGTCCGTCCGTCAGTCCGTCTTATCTGTCTGTCTGTCTTCCTCTCACTGTCTCTCTCCCCCCCCCCCCCCCAGGTGGTGGGGGAGGCGGTGGCACAGGTCTGCGGGGAGATGATGCTGTTGAATTCATCCGAGCTGCGAGACTTTGCCATTCAGCTTAACCGCACCAACGGTAACGTTTCTAGACCAACTTTATGTTTCTGGTCAGGGTTGAACCACATCTCAGCTTCTTCTGTGCCTTCAGCAGCTTGTGAGTCACCACGTTCTCATGAATTATTCATGAGATGCCTTCGCCATCCTAGGAAGATTAATTGTGCTTCCTGTCCGTCTGTCAGGAGGTGTGGTGCGACCGCTCCATACAGGGGAGTACATGCTTGACTTCCTGCTGGACGACGGCTCCTTCTTCCTGTCGCTACGGCGAGTCTTCTGGGAGAGCCCTCTGTCCTTCACCAACGACCTGCATGTTGCCTTCCACTACCAGCAGGTAACCCAACAACATACAACCTAACAACATACAACCTAACAACATACAACCCAACAACATACAACCTAACATACAACCTAACAAAAATACAACCTAACAACATACAACCTATCAACTTAGGTGCCGGTGTGCAAAATGTCATTTTGTGTTGATTTAATTGATTGCAGTAAGAATGAAGGAGTTATGTAAGGAGTTATGTATCTACACTCAAGCCAGTGTGTGTGTGTGTGTGTGTGTGTGTGTGTGTGTGTGTGTGTTGTGTGTGTTTAGGTACAAGGTGACTTCCTGGACGGCAGGTTGCTGCTGCCCTATGACAGTTCCTTGTTGGTCCATCAGTTGGCGGAGCTGTCTGCCCTGCAGTGCATGGCCGAGGGACAGACCAGCCCGCCTTCACTGTGAGGAACCAGTCTTGTCTTTACTAGAAGACACATTGGGGGGGGGGGGGGGGTAGATGTGGGGAGAGAGGTCCTGTTCTATGTCTGACCCCCCACCTCCACCTCTCTCTTCTCTCTGTCTCTCTCTCTCTCTCAAGGCAAGAGCTGAAGACACTCCTCCCTAAGCATGACTTCATCACCAGTAAACTCCAGGAGATCCACTCCCTCACCCCGAACCAGTTGGCTACCGTGGCAACGCTTGGTCCTGATGCTGCAAAGATCAGATTCGTCGGTGAGGGATTCGTCTAGGGCTGCAACTGACGATTGTTTTCACATTCGGTCGATTCGGTCGAATCGTTAAGTCTATAAAATGTCGTGATATATCATATCCTCACCTGCAGGGCTGCTGAGCACCATGCCTCTGTTTGGCTTCAACTCCTTCCGAGCCCAGAAGGTCAGCCATCGCAGCTGCCCCTCCCCCTGTCTGGTCATCATCAGCACCAAGGAACTGGCCTTCCTGCACCCCAAAACACAGGTAGGGTCAACACAGGTAGGGTCAACACAGGTAAACACAGGTAAGGTCAACACAGGTAAACACAGGTAGGGTCAACACAGGTAAGGTAAACACAGGTAAGGTAAACACAGGTAGGGTCAACACAGGTAGGGTCAACACAGGTAAACACAGGTAGGGTCAACACAGGTAGGGTCATCACAGGTAAGGTAAACACAGGTAGGGTCATCACAGGTAAGGTAAACACAGGTAGGGTCAACACAGGTAGGGTCAACACAGGTAAACACAGGTAGGGTCAACACAGGTAGGGTCAACACAGGTAAACACAGGTAGAGTCAACACAGGTCAACACAGGTAAGGTCAACACAGGTAGGGTCAACACAGGTAAACACAGGTAAGGTCAACACAGGTAGGGTCAACACAGGTAAGGTAAACACAGGTAAGGTCAACACAGGTAAACACAGGTAGGGTCAACACAGGTAAGGTCAACACAGGTAAACACAGGTAGGGTCAACACAGGTAAGGTCAACACAGGTAAGGTCAACACAGGTAAACACAGGTAAGGTCAACAGGTATAGCAGCCATCATCGTCTTATACAGTAGGGCTTCTTGACCCCAAAAGACAATGTCTGTATGTCTGTGGGACCCATTTTGGGTCCTGACCAAAATGGGTCCACAGTTTAAGAACCTGTTTTCTGTCTCTAGCTTTTTTACTGATGCGTGATGCTTGATGCTAGCTGTGTATCTATCTATCTAATAATAATAATAATAAAACTATATAATATCTATCTACTCATGGCAGATGCAGACCTTCACCATTTCGCTGCCAGAAGTGCAGTCCTTGCGTACGGTCCGGCCCAGGATGCTCGATAAATTGCCTTCGCTGGAGATAAACTACAGCAACCTGGGGGGTCGCTCCAAGAAGATCACCATTCACCTGAAGCAGGTAACAATACCACCTCACATAGCAGGGATTAATAGTACCATCATATACAACAAAACAACTGAGCGTTAAATAAAGAAACACACAACCTTACAATTGTGTACTGTTGTACATTATTTAAAATACATCCCAGTCTCTTTGTTTATTCTCCCTATGCTCTCTCATTCTCTGTCTCTCTCTCATTCTCTGTCTCCCTCTCATTGTGTCTCTCTCTCGTTATGTCTCACCTTCAGGCCAAGGAGCTGTGCCATATCCTCGCTACAATTATGGATGAATATGTGCGTCCGTCTACCGACTCTTCAATATGAATTACAGGAGACAGCAGTTGTCCAGACGCATGAATACCATCTGTCTGTCTGTCTGTCTGTCTCTCTCTCTCTCTCTCTCTCTCTCTCTCTCCCTCTCTCTCTCTCTCTCTCTCTCTCTCTCTCTCTCTCTCTCTCTCTCTCTCTCTCTCTCTCTGTCCTTATTATATTAAGAAGTTATTTAAAACAATATTGCATAATACTGATTACCTTTTATAACTTACATCATCGACATCATTACGTATCATTTTAAATAATGACTGAAATGTAAATAAATAATAAATCGACGTAAGGGAATGTGTTAAATTATTATTAAATGTTATTTGACTGAATGCTCAGATTTTCATCAAATCAAAGCAAATGTTTATATGTTTAATTGAGACTTATTTTCTTATTGGATCAACTTGATGTGTGCGCGTTTCAATGGTGTAATACCAACATTTAACTGTAAATGATGTAACCAGTCTGATTTGAATTTTGGTAATGACACTAAATATTACAAACAAGTCATGTTTACTGATTATGAGTGATGTGTTAATCATTCACAAATATTGTTTAAATGATTCATAAATATCTAAATACATATATATATATATATATATAAATATAGATGCAGTGGAGGATGCTTGTTTTATAAATGATTTTGTTGATATTTGTAAATCTTGTGAATTAACTTTACATATCAATAAACACTTCACGACTCACTGATGAAGAATCATCTCTTGAAAGACACTTCTTGGCATCATCTGATTTACTGGAGCGTGATCATAGGAAGACATATGGGAGCGCTAACACAGCGTCTTCAGAGAGACACTGGGTGTCACATGACCTCATAGGGACACTTTCAGAGAGACCATTATATGAAACCCTAAACCGGGACAACGAGATATAAGAAGAGGGCTCTTGGGGACGCTAGTGATTATTTATACGTCACCTGAATTGTAATGTCAAATACAAGTGCGACTTCCTAGTACCCCACAGTGGGCGTACAGGTGGCGCAACGCAGAGCGCTGCAGGTTATCAGATCTGTAGACCAGGGTTCGAGTCCCGGCAAGGGACGTCTACGTGGTTTCCTCTTGTGTATTGTGATCAAATACAAGTACGACTTTTTAAGTCATGTGAATTGTAAACTTGACCAGAGCTTAGCAGGTGTCTTGGTGGTGCAGCGGTAAGGGCTCTTGGCCAACATTCAGTAGGCCAGGGTTCGAGTCCCGGCAAGGGACATCTATGTGGTTTCCTCTTGTGCATTGTGATGTCAAATACAAGTGCGACTACCAGGATTCAATACCAGGTCAGTCAGAGCATTAGACCACAGCTCTCTCCATCATGCCACCGAGACGCTCCGCTACTACCTGTACGGAAGTCGCACTTGTATTTGATCACAATACACAAGAGGAACGCACATAGATGTCCCTTGCCGGGATTCGAACCCTGGTCTACAGATCTGATAACCTCTGCTTTGCGCCACCTGGACGCCCACTGTGATGTGCTGGAAAGTCGCACTTGTATTTGACATTACAATTCATGTAGAAATAAGACAACACAATCCCTCACTGGGACCCCGGTGCGGATGACACACAATTCTCTCCCCTGCACCACAATGTCACTTGCATTTGACGTTACAATTCAGGTAACGTAGAAATTAAACAACGCCAGAGAGATGTCCGTTGCCAGGAATTGAACCGCCGCTCCCCAGAGCTCATAGCGCACAGCTCTCTCCGTTGCGCCAACAAGACACCCGGTGTGAGATGGACAGAATTTGCACGTGTACTTCACAATTCACGTCAGGATTTAAGGTTTTGGTTTCCAATTAGGGTTAGGGTTTCATATTAGGGTTAGGGTTTCACATTTGGGTTAGGGTTTTGGTTTCCAATTAGGGTTTCATATTAGGGTTGGGTAAGGATAAGGACACTTTCAGAGAGACACCGGGTGTACATGACCTTTAGAGGGACTCTCACATCGTTCACATTGGATCAGGAAGGGCCCAATTAATTGGACATGTCTGTAAGACAAGACAATAAGGAAGTGAGACTGCATGGCCTCAGCACAGCTACAGTGGCAATGTGAACGCTGTCTAACCATCTTTCAATTAGAGAGGGAGGGAGCCTTCTAGGCTTATCCATTATAGAAGCTTATATCTTTTATTTGGCGTGTCGTTCATATTATCCACAACTCATTCATAAACTTCAGCCCTTATATAAAGTCAAAACACCTTTACACACACACACACACACACACAACTCACAAGTCTGTCTCAGCGTTTTCTTACATTTCACTGCACATCCAAATCTGTAATTAAAGGATCGGTTAGCGATGGATTCAGATCATTTTGGACGTACGATTCATTTGGAAAACGTGGAGCGTTTTCACACGTGTACTTATCACACAAACACAAAACTCGTTCAATGTTAGTGATATGCTTTTATTTTGGAATAGTAATAAATACACGGGCGAGAAGAAAACAAACGTCACAAGTTCCCCTCAAGAGAAGAGCGGCCACGCCTCCCCTCCGTCATAGCGACCAATCAGCACAAGGACTAGGATCACCTGACTCTTCACCGACTCCTGATTGGAAGTCTCAGACATCAGGTGACCACAAGCTGTGGGGGACCGGCAGTCAAAAACCCTCATGACCTCATGGCCCACATGGACCAACATCTCAGCAGTCTGACAACATGAAGCCGCGATGCATCAATAGCCTCTAGGTGGCGCTAAACCCAACAGTCCTCCGCAGGAAGGCCGCTGTTACACTAAAGGATTGTTGATTTATTTACAGCCTGAATAGCTACACAACAAACAAAATGTCTCAGTCAACGCCTAGTAGAAGTACTGCTGCATGTTAGCGGTAACGTTAGCAACATGTCCATACCTAGCTCGTCATTAGTCTGGCGGTGTAACACTATTACTTAAGGAATGTTTCAGCAAAACTTGCCATTTTCAACAATATAGAAATGTGTTATACAAGAAGAGACACCTTAAACTTGCATACAATAGCAGTCCGACAACAAATCCAATCATTTCGATTTTAAAGATGACCTCGTTCCAGATCAGAGCATCTGCGCTCCCTAGCGATCACATGTAGAGAACAAAACGCCCTCAGGTTCCTCTCATCAACATCACGCTGCTCTGTAGCGCCCTTAGCAAACCCTTGTGATCATTACATACGACCCCTAGTGATCATTACATACGACCCCTAGTGATCATTACATACGACCCCTAGTGATCAATACATACGATCCCTAGTGATCATTACATACGATCCCTAGCGATCATCACATACGATCCCTAGCGATCATTACATACAAACCCTAGTGATCATTACATGACCCCTAGTGATCATTACATACGATCCCTAGTGATCATCACATACGATCCCTAGTGATCACTACATACGATCCCTAGTGATCACCACATACGATCCCTAGTGATCATCACATACGATCGCTAGTGATCATTACATGACCCCTAGTGATCATTACATGCTGGCTTTTAGTTCTCATTTTTATCCACTGAGGCACTAGCTGGTTTCTCAGGGGCCGTCCATAATGTCCACCCAGGGGCCGTCCATAATGTCCACCCCGTTAGAAACAAGAAAATAACATGGAACGTATAAAATGAGAAACACAAACAGAAATTGTAAACAACAATTACAAAGATGCCGATGTCAATAAACCAAGAACACAAACAACAACAACAACACGACAATTAAATGTAAATACTGATATAAACCGTTGTGTAGCGCTCCACAGCGCAGCAGGGGGTCGAACGTCTCCATCGCTACAGGGTCAGGAGGAGGACAGGACAAGGCGTGTAGTGGCCCTCAGGAACGTTCGGTCCATGTGTGTGGTTCTACACGCGTGTGGAACCACACGCGTGTAGAACCACACGCATGCAACGCACCCTTTAACAGGCGTGTGACGGGTAGAAACGTGGGACTCGAGGCACTAATGATCTGCTCAACGTGGCAGAACCTCAACACTAAGAGACGGTACAAGAATAGAAAAGGTTTCTAATGCTTTCACTCAACACATTTTGAGTTTGAGTGTCCTTTTATTTTCCGACAGTCTTTTTTTATTTTCTTGGAATAACGTGTTGGACTTCAAAAGCCCGTTTTGCATCAATTGATTTAAGGTGCGTTACGAGAGCGGGGGAAAAGGCAGAATAAGTGCATTCGGAGTGAGGCGACGCTACAACTAAAAAACCTAACAAACAACAACCATATTGTGTGTTAAAAAAGAAGAAGAACAACATAATGGATGCCTATTGGTGCAGAGAGAAAGCATTTCCTCCACACCACTTCCTGGGGGTGTGAAGCGCTGGTGGTGGGAGCGGAGGGGGGGGGGGGGGGGGGGGGAGGAAGGGGCGTGGCCTAGCCCTCCCGGGGGGAGAGACGGGGTTCGGCCAGGGAGCTGTGGATGATGCTGCTGATGGACTCGACGCCCTCGCCCTCCAGGAAGGAGCGGTGGTCGCCCTCGACGACGTGGACCGACACCGTGCCGTCGCACACCTGAGGACATTTACGTCGTGTTAGTAGTACACTTTAAATGATATTGACGTTAATTACATCTCCCGCATCCCATAACGACACGCCGCCGCCGCGTGCCCCTCACCTCGCTGAGCTTGTAGTCTCCCCCCAGGTGGTCGCCGTAGTCGCTGCTGGCCTTGGCGCGGAGCAGCGTGACGTTGCCGTGGTACCTGGTGGCGGGAACGTAGCCATCGGCCGCCTTCAGCTTCTGGTAGAAGGTGGCGGCGGCGAAGCGGAGCGCGTCGCGGTTCACGTTGCTGTGGGTGGAGGTGATGAGGTCCACCGTGGCCGACACACGCGCCTCCAGGTCCGCCAGCGGGAGCAGGATGTCCAGCAGCTGGACAGAATAATAATAATAATAATGTATATTAGATCTAGTAGTATGGCACACTATACAACATGCAATACTATTCATATACAACTAGAGGTGTACCTTGTTGTATTCGAGGCCAGTGAACTGCTGAATGAAGGCACACAGAGCCTCAGTCTCGGCCTCAGACTCCTTGCCCGGCGTCAGCTTGGCCCGGTAGCTCTTAAATATGACATTATAATATAAATTATTATTGTTATTATAGATCATCATTATATATTATTGTTATGATTTATTATTATGGTTTATTATTATGGTATTATTACTATGATTAATTTTTTATTATTATTATTACTTAGAATATTACTACGATACTGATGCTATTCATTTAAAACGCCATGTTTAAAGTATCCAAAAGTACTAAAGTTAAAGTACTGATAAAGTACTGATAAAGTAAAGATAGCATATTCTAATGAAGTATTAATAAAGTACTCTAATAATGAAGTACTGATAAAATACAAATAAAGTACTCTAATAATGAAGTACTGATAAAATACAAATAAAGTACTCTAATAATGAAGTACTGATGAAATACTCCAGTCGATCAAGCCAGTTACCTGCGTGTACGCGGCCACGTAGGAGTGGGATCCATCGAAGAGGAAGAGGCACTCGACCGCCAGCTTCTGGCTCTGCAGCTGGGAGCACATCTCGAACGCCACGCAGGCGCCGAACGAGTAGCCGGCGATGCGGTACGGCCCGGCGGGCTGCACCTGCCTGATGCGGTCCAGGTAGAAGGAGGCCAGCGCCGGGATGCTGCCCAGCGGAGCATCTGGCCAGAGGAAGACACGGCTTAGAAAACTCTCAACACTATTCACAATTATAACACTGATATGTTTTAATAATGTAGCATATACCGTCGGTAAGTAATTCACAATAATCTATTACTCTTTTCATATTGTGTACGTATACGTACGCAAATGTAATTATCGTTTGTAGTTTTTATTGTTATTTCAAATGTTTTTTCGATTTCTACGAGTACCATCTTACCTTACAACTTAAAACAATAGAAGATATTGTATAACTGTTTTACACTACACAACTAATCCCTCCCTCACGTATTCATGATCTACATCCGGTCACACTGGCCCATGTGACAGGAAGTGGGTTGTACCTTTGGTACACTGCAGGCCGTAGCAGGGCACGCTGAGCTTGGAGGTGAGGGTCTTGAA